AGTTCTGTTTTTACACGCCTGGGTAGCTCGCCCCCTTCTGGCAGCTCAGTGAATAACGCCCCAGCTGACGCCTGCGGTTTAAACCACAGGAGAGTCTGGTTATACAGTACAGTGCTGATCGAACAACACAGAGAAGCTGCGCCACCAGGTTTGCACGCTTTTTTGGGGGAGGGGGGGTATGGTGCTGGCTCCAAAGATGATGGTGCGCAAGGCGGCCGCCAATGTCACCAAATGGGTTGACCGGCACTGATCAAGCATAAGCTCTGAATATAAACAGCCCACAAGCACTGTATGACATCCATTAAGTCACCGAAACACCCAGCGAGTTGATCGGAACCCCTTCACGGACACCCATGTAACATTAGTCAGACGTGGACCGTGCAGACCGCTGCTCAGAAACATTGTTTGGACGGCCTCACGCACAGAGGGGATGGAGCTGCCCGTGACCGTGAAGATGTCCGTGGCCTCGATTCTACAGCCTCCTTAATGGAGTGAAACGCTTTCTGACCCTAAGACCGCAAACGCCTGAGTTGTGCAAGCTGTTCCAATAAAGTACGGAACAGGGGATTTAAGATAAATTAATAAGGAGGCTTCAAGGAGAGGATGGCTGATAACAGAAAAGCCCCCCCGTCGTGTATGACAGGCCCCACAGCGCTCCCTCATTACCTTTAGCCTCTGTACTAAGGATCCAGCTACTTCTGTCCAATTATACAGCTGGACCACTTAGGGGGCAATAAGGTCCAACAGCAGGACCTGAGCTGGGAGATTCCCTGTCTGCACGCCTATCCTCTGTGCCCTCGAACCTGGGAGAGCTGCACTGTAGTCGCCAGTGAAATGCAGACAGATGTTGCGCGTCACTGGAATTCCAGCTGTGCTCAGACTGCACACACTCTTCTTCGGCAATCTCCCACGTGCTGTCGCCGATGTGTGTGGCTGATGTCACTTTCGACACAGTGGTTAAAGGGTGACTTGGTGGGTTGTCACAAGGGCAGCCAGAGAAGGGTCAATCGATCGCCTCCCTAATCACAGTCAGTGAGGGACGCTGGCTGACACGCTCCCGGAGGCAGAGTGACTGGAATGCCCTCCTGGTCCCTTTCATTCCGGAACATTCCGGCGCTTTTGGCAATGGCCCCCTTCTTGTCAGTCACTGGCCCCAGTGTATCTAGGGCCTGGATTTACGATAAAGCGATCGTTATCGTCCGGACGGAATGGAGGAAGAAAGAAAGATAACAGCGTGGCGAGAGAAGCGCATCCTGCCCTGAGCGGCTCCGCGCTTTCCGAGACGCGTCCTGTGTCATTTCACCCACACGGCACATTCCCAGCATATTTATATATATTTGTGTGTTTACACGCTCGCCAGAGCCGCTGGACCGGGCACACGTGGATCTCCTGCCGGGATCCTGGTGTTCTTCTCCCTAATTTGCTCGTCACAGGTGCTGATTCCAGGCTTCACCCACTCCGGGCCTCCGTCACTCGTTCCCGGGGACGGATGAGTGTGCCGGAGCCTCCCACACGCCGCGCCAGGAGGCCATCTCCACAAACGTTGTGAGAGAGACAGCTCATCTCCCCACTTTTTTTTTTTTGACTCTGGATTTTTTTGGATTTGTTTCTATTACTGTTATCTTGACATCTCAGAGCCGATGCCTTAACCGTCTCCACTTTACCCGTGTTTTACATAAAATGTGCTGCTCACACAGAGAGTTACGTGCACGTTTACCATGTTTATTACAGATTAGGAGATTAGCCTGTATTTATGCTGCTTGATGCAGCGTTCAGTCTGCATGCCCTGTGTGTGACTATCAGGACGAGGCAGTTTAGCTGCAGCTGTCTGTCATCAGCCCCTTTGTTTCCCACCTGCTTTTCTTCAGAATTCAGACCGGAAGGCTCTTTGTCATTAAAGGCTGTTTTCTCCTCTCCTCCTCTTCCTCTCCCTTGTCCTCTCCAATTTAATCCTCCCCTCTCCCCCTCTCTCTTCTCCTACCCTCCCTTCTCCTACTCTCCTTTCATCCCTTCTCCTTCTCTCCTGTCCTCCCATCCTCTCCTCCCTTCCCCTCCTTTCCTCTTTTCTCTTCTCCACCTTTCATCTCCTCTCTTCTCATGCCTTTTTGTCTCTTCTCCTCCCCACTCATCTCCATTTCTCCTCTTGCATAACCTCCTCCCTTCCCCTCTCCTCCCTTCTCCCCCTCTCCTCTCCCTCCTCCCTTCTCCTCCTCCCCCCTTTCTCCTGCTCTCCACTCCACCCTTCTCTTTTCTCTCCTTTCTTCCCCTACCATCTCCTCTCCTCCCTTCTCCTCTCCTCTCTTCCCATCTCCGCCTCTCCTCTCCTCCATTCTACTCCTCTCCTGTACTCTCCTCTCCTTCCCTGCCCTCCTCTCTACTCCCCACTCATCTTCTTTCCTCCCCTCCCCTCCCATAACCTCCTCTCTTCCCCTCTTCTCCCTTCACCCCTTCTCCTCTTCTCCCTCCTCCAGATCTTCTTTCCTCTCCTTCGTTCTCCTCCTCTTCAGCTCCTCTACTTCCTGCATGACTCTCTCACCCTAATGTGACACATATCTGTTACCTATCTGTTATCTATAATAAATCTGTTGCATCTGATTCGTCGAGCCTCAGGGGTAATAGCACAGAATATACCTGTCGATATGTCCACTTGATACATAACGTCCATCGGTTATTCGTAAGAAGCTAAATGAATCAGAATTTAAACAGTGTGGCTCTGGTATTGACAGTAGCGTTACCACGGTAACACCCCTCAATGTGGTCTTCACATTCAGTGCTTCTGTGACACAGGACCGAAGTAAAAGGTTCGATTTGTTGATCTCCTGATGGGGGCACACTGACCTTGGCGGTGAGTAAACATAGGGATGGAACCTGGGGGCGTCCCACGCACGCCTGCACAGGGACCATGTGCTTACTCTGCCTTTACAATCGCTTTTTCAGTCTCTTCCTGCTTTTGTCCAAATGGACTTAATGCAGCCCAAACGGCTGTCTTTGCATCACTCATGCTGGGGGGAGGGGGATGGGGGGGGGGGGGGTCACATAAGCAGGAGCCCTGCCTTGAGGGCGCAGTGCTTCCTGGGATACTGAACTAGCAAACTGTTCGCTCACGCCTGCTCCTCCACCACCTCCCCACAAGGTCTCCTTGAGGGAGAACCTCCCATAGCCCCTAACCTCCCATCTCCATCCCTCCCCTTTAACAGTGCTTATCTGGGGGGCACGACGATATTAACAAGGAGCTTTAATATCAATAAAGTAGACCGACGGAGCCCAGGTTTGTCACTGCTGTCGCTGGCTGCCCCCCCACCCCCTCCAGGGCCCCCCAAGGCTCTGTAAGGCCTGGCATTATCATGACAACAGCTGTTGCCTCCAAAAGAATCGTAATTACGTGTAAGTGCTTTCTGCCTCTCATCAATAGCGGTAATTACAGGAGACGCAGGAGCGATGCCATGGAAATTGTCATCTGAACATATTTCCTTTGTCATGTGCAGAGCCGTCGTTACCTCCTCCAGAAGCGCCCGAAGAAATGTCAGAAAGGAGAAATGCCTCTGAATGAAGTGGAGTTACAGCTCGGGGCCTGGGTTCAAATTCCCTCTGGACCCCATGCAGAGACGTGGGATTTTAAGATGCCAAAGTAGGTGAAACCAGCTGCATTGTCTTTATCATCTTTTGAACGTAACGCGACGTTTCTCTGAGGATGTGATTCCGGCGTCATCCAACAGGGGGCCCACTCATCTATTTGGGGCTACTTGGGAGAGTGTCACCTGGGTGCTGACCAATGCACAAGGCACAGCTGAGGTCCGTGAGGCTGTTAAAAGGTCTTCTCTGGTGTGACCGTGTTTCACGCTGTACTACAGTACTGTCCACATATCCAAATGAAACGTGAACATCCAGAGTTTTAGAGTTATAATCCCATTTGGCTCTATTAACATCATTAATGCTCTTGTTCAGATGTTCAATACTGGGATTAGTCATTTAAATAACCCAGAAGGTGTTACCTAACAGGCTGATTTTCCTCTACACTGCTTAAAAGGTCACTTAAATGCTACGAGAAAGTTTCTCCCATGAATGTCCTAATTCTTAATTTCTTAACCGGTTTCGTAACCTATGGTTACACATCGATGAGCTGTATACTCTCCCCCATGGCAGCGTCTGGCCCTCTACGTATGTGAAAGACTGTCACACATGCAGATTACGGCACCGGATTTTTTAGTGCGCGTGTGTGTTTGTGAGATAAGGCATGTGTGTGCCATGTCGGTCTGTGTGTGTGTGTGTCCGCTCTCCCTCACAGGAGAGCCGGGAGCCAGAGTACACTGTTATACCCAAAGCCTGAGAGAGGCCCAGCAAGTCAGTTTCTTCAAGAGTTATGCTCTAATGTGGCAGAGGGGGCCTCTCGCTTTTGACTTAGCGAGGAATTATAGAGCACAGACCTGTAAAACATCTTGTACCCTCATCTCTCCCATTATGTGAAATACAATAATCTACAGAATTACTACGGCATTCTCAGGGAATGTGAATTCATACATTTCTGCTTGTATCATCTATCTGGTGAAGGAAACCATTTCTGTAGATTTAGCATCTACAAAACGAGAAAAAAGTGGAATGCTTTAGAATACGAATAATAACTAGGGGACTTGGTGTTGGGCGAACCTCTGATGCCGTGCAGAAAGCATGAGATCCGGACCATCAGAATACACAGGTCATGATATCTGCGGTCTGGGTCATGCAGCCTATTCTAGGGTTTTACAGACAGAGAGAGAGGGAGAGTTTGGAGTTTGGAACAATTTATTTCTACTATTCTCTGCATTTAAGAATAATTATAAAGACATCAAAACTGTAGAGTAACATACATGAAATTATGCACTGATCAAAAAAGTGTTAAACAAAATAATTCACTTGGACCCTTGAGCAAGGCTTCACCCCAGTTCTTCCAGGGACTGGCTGACCCTACTGTCCCCTCTACACCGGTTTCATGCGGTGGCCTCCTGGGATGCTGTGACAGCTGTCCTGAAGTACATCCCACATATACCGAGCTCACTGAGGTGGGTGACCGCCTCCAAATCCGTTTCTTCTGCGTTTGGGTCAGGTGACCAGGTCGTATGATGTGACACTCTATCATGTTCCTTTGAAGGCAGCCTGACGTGTCCATACTTTTGACTGGGGTGGGAGGTGTGGGGGGGGGTAATAACGCCACACCCTGGACAGGGCAAGTTGTATGTCTGATTTTTTGTGGATGTGTGAGTTTCCACAATCTTCCACCTCAAACCCAGACTGCATCAAGAAAAATCCTGCGACGGGCCAGATTAATCCCCCTGCCCGACTTTTAATCAGCCCGGGCATCTGGCAGGACGCTGGGAATGATCATCTATCTACCCCGGGCTGATAAGCCTGTCCGGCGCGGCTCGATCATAAACAGTCGCTCGCCTTCAATGTGCAGATATGCATCTGAGCCTGACGTCCCAGAGAACCTGGCCCATACACTAGTGGCCAAAATTGTGGAAACATTTCCAATTTTTAGATAAGTAACTGTTGCTCCAGTTACTTATTTAACCATCCATTGTATGATGCTTGTAGCACGTTTTGATTGTTTATGTACATTATCGCCAGTATTTGTGCAGTAATAATTAAAGCAAAATTCCAAAAATGTATCCACAATTTTCACCACTAGTACAGATGCTCTGGACTGCAGTGACGTTCCCCTTTTAAGTCTGTGTGTGATCTCTGGGGGATCTGGCAGATCTGCTGATCCCCGACGTGGGGAAGGGCCCCTGAAGGGCGGGAGAGTGTGACCTCTCGAAGGCATTTGGGTCCTCGCAGTGAGTCTCCTGGATTGTGTTCAGTGGTCACACCCTCCACCCAGCCATCACCTGACCTGGAGGAGCAGAGAGGGTGGACATCTTCCCATGATGTCACCTGAGTTGTTGACCCCTGCCCCCTTCCCAGTGGGCTGCTGAGTAGTGTGGGGCGGTGCCTTAATAGCCAATCAGCACGCATTGTGCAGCAGGGAGGTAGGTGGGTGAGAGGTAGCTTTCCCATGAGTGGGGAGCTAATGCAGACGCTGTCAGCTGCATCTGATGGGCGGAGCTGAACGGGGCGAATCCCAGCCTGCTCCCGGGGGCCACCAATCGTTCAGAACCCGCTCTGTAGGATGAACCTCTCCCTTTAAAGCACCCAACAATCTTACACTTAGAAAAAAACAAGCCTCATAAAAAGTACAAAAAAAAACAGTTAAGCCACTCAATTAGCACAGCGCCAGATTCCTCGTTTATGGCACCAGTGTCAAACTCAAAAGAAAAAAAAAATCTGGCTCCCGCTGGTTCCTGTGATGCCGACTCGGTCCGGTTCAGTAATAATGTGGAGTCCAGACGGGCCGGCACACCTGAACAGCCTGCGGTGCGTTTGGGCACGAGCCGGCACATCAAAGCTGCGGATGGCTGCCTTTGTTCCCGGCACAATTTCCCGTCCACAAACGCGGGAAATGAGCATTACGGCATTCATCTGAAACCCATCTCCCCACGTCCCCGACCCGAGCAGAACACGACCTGGCTTCATCACAGACATCACACGCAAGAACCGTGTTTCTTCCCCCTGCAAATGTACCCTAAAACAATACAATCATTCTGGCTTTGAAAATCACTCTGAATACGCCTTTTATTTCTCACTGTCTGTCCTCTCTCTTTGTGAAGTTCAGGACGAATACCCCCAGAAAAGGGCTTTGTGTTTGGGAAAATTTGTTTCCGGATCTAAGAGCGATTGGTTGTTTAGGCTCTCGTGTGTGGTTACGCCCTCTTACCGAGACAATAAGGCATTTCGGGAGTCTCAGACATATATAGCCCCATTGCGCCAGCATACACTTCAACAAGTGTCATGCATTTCTTTGATTTCCCTACATCAGAGACTTCTTCAGACTCGTGAGGGAGGATGTCAGAGGAAACCTGAAGGCAGGAGTTATGAGCTGGTTTGATCACGTGACCCAGATTAGTGCATTCCCAAGCAGCCGATTGGCCAGGGTGCTGTCATTCCAGCTTGAGGCCTTGGGTTTCTAGGGGCTCTCCCACTCTGTCGTGGCTCTGAGGACTGGATGACGATCACACAGGGGTTATGTGATGGAAACACACAGACAGTCATTTACCGTAAAAATATGCATAGACATATATGCGAACGTATTTTCAGACAGTGACTTAAAGGGGTCACGTGACTGTCATTGTCGTCGCAGTATGTGACCCTTAGAAGCATTGTCACACCTAGAAGCATCTTTAGAACACATTAGCAGGAATGTCCCTTCTTTTCAATGTCTGGAGAAGGGGGGCTGGTGGGAGGGGGTGCAGAGAAAGTCATGGACAGTTTTACTTTCTACTTTGTGTCCTTCGTTTCTAAATATTTTCCTGAACTATTGCATCACTTCCTGTTGAGGGATTGCGCCTCAGCCGCTCGTGAATTGTAACGCTTGCAGGCAGGAGCAGCGCGGAGCTCTGAGACGGCACCGTCGCACCTGCAGCCCACAGGAGCGGCGACGGCAATTCACAGAGCATACGGCGGAGAGCCCCCGGGGGGGGGGGCGCCTTGGCGCGGCGGGCTGGGATCAGAGAGATGGTGGCGACAGGGAAAAACACAACACAACAGACAAATATTTTAGCTAGCGGCCTCCCAGAGCTGCATTTCGAGTGCGATGTGTGCTTACGTGTGGCGGTAAAGCTCGGGGGGGGTGGGCTGTCTCGTTTTAATGCAGCCTAATTAAGAAGCCAGAGAAATAAATTAAAAAGGGGACAGAGAAAAAGGCAGGGCAGCACTCGCCTGGAGGGGCTGGGGGGGCATTAGGGTTGAGCTTCATCTCCCCGGGGGGCTGTGACCATGTGACCTTCAGACCATGTGACCTTCAGACCGTGTGACCTTCCCTCATTTGCTTGGCAGGAGGATTTTCTAGGATAACCTGCAATGTTGTAGTTATTCCATAGACACTTTTATCCAAAGGGGTGAATCATTTTTGGGAATGCATAGTTAGCCACATCCTGGGGGTTAAGGGTCTTGCTCGGTGCTCTGCTGACCCTGGGATTTGAACTAATAACCTGCCGATCACAGGCGCAGCATCCTAACCCAGAGAGTCCATGGGCACATGGGCCTTTGTGAGCTCAAGGTACAACAGCAAATCCCACCTGCCAAGGAGACATATGGACCCATTTGCCATACGGTTCTTTTCAAACTTTTTTCCTTTGTGCTTTTATCGCTCACTTGCAGTATCTCCTTATTTCCTCCCTGCTCTGAATAGCCTCTGCAGTGTGTTAACTGTGTTTGTAATTAAGTTTGGTGTATTTCCGTGCATTCCCTGTATCCCCACGGTTGTTGTATGTCTCCATGGCTACACGTTGCCACGGTTGTTTCACGTCCCCCTGGTCCCTTTAACATTTACTGGGCCATAAAAGCAATAGAAACACTGATTGTTATATGGAAGCTCGCTAACAGTGCCCTAGCATTCCTCTGGTGGGGGGGGTCTTGTTAGTGTAATGGACACTGTGACTAATC